TGGTCAGCAAGGTCACCTGGGTTCAGGCCTGGAAGCCGGGCTCAGCCACCTGCACACAGCCTGTGTCACAGGGCAAGCCTCCTGCTGAAAAATCACAGTGGTGCCTGGTTTCCAGGTGTCCCCTGAGCCATGTCCCTGGGGCCAGCCCTAGCTGTGTTCTCGGACACCTGGGCACCTGCTGTCGCTGATGTCACTCTGGCAGGAGGAAGAAATGAGCTCAGTGTGGTTCTGGAGCTCAGCCAGGCCACTGAGCTTTGCTGGGAGGAGCTGGTGGCTCTTGAACCCAACGTGGACAAGCCAAGCCCTGAGCATGGACCCACCCGGCCTTTGAGCCAGCCCTGGGCCTTCAGGGATGGGTTTACTCATCCGTGCTGTGCCCTTATCTTCCTACCCAGGGATGGGCCCTACTGCTGGTTAGAAGTTCTCACATTTCTGTTGTTGTTATCATAAAAGTGAGTCTTATAAGAACACCAATCTACAATACACAATAAAAGTGGGCAGTTCGATGACACCCTAACCCCCACACGAACTTACTAAGCTCACTCAGAATGGAAAGAGGAAATCTGAACAGTTTTCAGTCATTCTCAAAACACTGCATTTGGGGTTTAAAACCTTCCCACAAAGTAACTCCAGCCGCCAAGGTCTTTAGTGATGAATTCCATCAAATATTTAAGGGAGAAATTATACCAGTTCTACCCAAGTGTATAAGTTCAAATCAATTTGGAGAAATTAGCAGGTTGACTCTAAAATCTCTATGAAATGCGAAGGACCCAGAGCACAAAAGTAACCTGGCGAACATTGAGGTAGACAGAGGTCTCACAAGGAAGACACTAAAAGCACTAACCATCAAAGTATAAAATGACAAGTTTAGAATTCATAAAAATTCATAAGTTAGATTCATTAGAACCGTCAACAAAGCAAGCCACCAATTGGAGAAATTTTCTCTTTCTCAGTGTGTATATATAAATACATGTGCATCCACAAATATACCCCCGTAACAGGGATTTCGAGGCAGAACATACGAAGAACCCTTACACTTCAATAATAAGAATTCAAGCCACTCATTTAAAAATTGGTAAGGGGCACAGGCTGTAGCTCAGGGGCACAGCACTAGCTCAGCAACTGCTAAAGGTCCTGGGTTCCAGCCCCAGTACGCACACCCACGTGCACACACAGGGTGGTGGCAGCCCACTAAAAGATGCTGGTAAATGCAAGTCAGAGTCCGGAGGCGACCGCACCAGTGACTGGGAAGGTGCCAGGGCTACCAAGTGCTGAAGAGGGTGGGGACGAGAAAGCACCTGTGCCTTGAACCAGCGCAGCCGCCTGGGGGGCAGTTGGCAGCTTGGGGTTGACAGGTGGCATTCCAGAGGATCCAACTGGTGCCCTTTGACCCCCATGAGACAGGAGAAACAAAAGTACCCACACAGGCGCGGTGGCGCCATGGGTGACGGCCCAAGCTGGGAGCCATCCACAGGTCCACCCAGGAGAGTGGACAGACACAGCGCCATGCGTCCACACTGCTGCGTGTCCACACTGCGGGTACCACCCACCACTGGGGGTGGATAGACGCGCTACCCTGGTCCACATGGGCACAGCCCACATGGCAAGGGCTGCTGAGCAGCAGAGCGTGAGGCGGTGACATGCGGCGTATGGGTGAATCTCCACCTCATTAAGCCAGACCCACAAAGCACACAGTGCTTCCATTCAAACTAGCCCGCAGCGGCAGGAAGCAGGTCCCAGTGCCTGCCAGGGACGGAGGACAGAGGAGGGGGCTCTGGTGACAGACACTCCGCATGCTAAATTTGGTGGCCGAAGCTCCGTGCGCTTCCTGCTGGCACAGGGCTCTGGGGGCGCCATCCTGGGGGGTGGCAACCTCTCTGCAAGGAGCCTTGGTCTCCTCATTGGCACCTGAACTTGCCCCAGCCTCCACAGTCCCTGGGGAAGGGAGGGGACGTGGTGGGAGGTGTGAAGAAGTGGGTCTTCCCCGCTGACTGCAAAGAAAACCCCTAAAACCAGCTTCCTCTGCAGAGCGGTTCAAAGCGAGGGGAGAAACAGGAGCATCTCCATGCAGGGCTTCCTGCATGTTTTTTAGTCCTTTGGGTTTTTCACCGAAATCACATTCAAATATATAAAATAATGCTAATAAGGGGGGCTGACAGCTGCTCCCCGAAGACTGAAAGTGGACAGGCGCTGCACCCCCACCCTCTCCCCCTCTGCCCCTGCTCTGCTATCACAGCCTCGCCCCGATGCCCAGATGCCAGCCCTTCCAGTTTCTGTTCCCCTCTCCCAGCTCCCAGGGCAGCTGGCCTTGGAGCCACAGATGGGCCCTCGCAGACCCTTCGCCGCACGCCCGGACCCAGGCATGCACAGGGGCCCTCGATCAAGGTAGCGCCCCCGGGGGCTGTGCCCCAAGCCCAGCTAAGGTTCTGGGAGAAAAACTAACAGGCCAGCACTCTGTGTCCTGCTCCCAGCAAGTCAGGTCCCCTGAGGTTTAGTTCCTGCTTCCAGTGCCTGCCTGAAGTCTCCTTCACCACTGCACAGTTCCCCGGGCACCTGTGCAGTCCCACCCCTGGGACAGTGCTGCTGGCCACCAGGGTGGCTGCTTCCTAAGGCTGATGGAGAAGCAGAGACACACATCCACCGGCCCCATCCTGTCCTCTGCAAGAGATGGACAGTGTCCTCGCAGGTATTCCGTCCCACTCATGTTGAGCGTGACTGGGGGGCACCATGCATTCACAAATGCTCAGTGTGCACCAGACACTGGGCTGTGTTTCACAGGAGCTCAGTGTCCAACAACACTAAGAAGTGAGCACCATGGGCATGCACTCTATCTTGAAAACAAGACGACCGAGTTAGGTGTGGTGGTGCTTGACTGAGATCCCAACATCTGGGAGGCTGAGGCAGAAGGATCCCAAGTATGAGGCTAGGCTGGGCTGCATAGTGAACCCGGTCTCAAAAAGCAAGAGAGGAAGGCCAAGGTGCAGCCCAGGCTCGTCACAGGACTGGGAAGTTGCAGAGCTGGGACCTACATTTAGGTGTGACAGCAAATGCCACGTCTTGGTCGCCATGACACTCCTTGGGCTAGGCCAGCTGGCCCGGCTCCACTGGGATGAGCGAGGACACAAGCAGCCACTCTGTCGGCAGCTGTCACTACCCCAGGTACACCTGGACCCTCACCAGAAGGATCAGAGGAAGCGTCAGCAGTCCTGGGGCACCCCATTGCTCAGAGGTGCAGCTGGGTGGCCGGGTGTGCCCGTGCCCTACAGGAGCCGACATGTCCCCATGTAAATATCTGGAGATGCAGACCTGGGTGCGGCCGGGGAGGACCCTGGGCAGGCACGGGGCCTCGAACACCAGAGGAGCTCGCCATGCCTGGTCACACAGGCTCCTCATTGGCAGACTGGAAAGGAGTTCTGATTGGCCCAGGGCAGAGCTCCAGAGTCCTGCCAAGTCTCTGAGAGGCTCTTTAATAGGGGCCTGGCTCCAACTGCCAAGCTGAGAATTCACCCCCATCCTCATCACACGAATCACAACTCCTTGGCAGCTGAGACACACGCACGTCCAATATCGCTCAGCATGACACTTGCGAGAGACAAACTCAAGGTTTTGCACCAGGCCTTGCTGGTTTCCAACACTGTGTTTCCAAAGGACACACAGGTTCTTCCGAAGCACAGCCACCCACAGATTTCAGACAGCCAACACCAGGAGGCCAAATGGACCCCCAAGTCGGGCCTGCTCTCCTGAGCTGATGTCCGGTGACCCAGCTGCAGCTCCACTTCGGGGTCAGCTGAGCCCTCTTGGTGCTGTGTGAGGTCCGGTCTTCCTGTCCACAGAGGGGCTCCAGGATGACCGAGCCTGTCGAGGCCACAGGCAGACACTCGTGGGCTGCCCTGCGAGGTGGGAAGCTCCTGGAAGCTCTATCCTGCGTGCACCAGTCCCAGAACCCTCTCCGTGTTCTGAGTTGCGGAGGCAACCCTGGTGGAGCTTGGTTGCCGACAGTGGTTTGCTCCCACTGTTTCTGGCCACGGCTCTTCCCAGCTCTTCCTTGGGGAAGTGACTGTCCATGCCATCATCCCTCTCCATTGTGGCAAAATACACATTGCCCGACACTGACCATCTGACCCACTGTTAAGAGCACAGTTTAGGGGATGAAGTACATTCACAGTTGCGCAGCCACTGCCTCTACCCACCTCCACAGTTCTCCCATCTTCCCCGACTGCAACTGTCCCCGCTCCATGTGGCCCTCCAGGCCCAACGCCAACCCTCCTGCTGTCTCCAGAACGCTTTGCTCTGTCTCTCACAAGTGGAACTGTATTTGTCAGCTATGCCTGGCTCACCTCAGAGTGGAATGTCCTCTGGGTTCGCTCATGGTGTAACGTGTCCATTTCTCTCACAGGGACAGACCCTGTGTCGTCAGTCCGTCTGTCCTTCTGCCAGTGGAGGGCCAGGTTGGTTCCACCCTTTGGCTACTGTGAATGATGCTGCTACAAACACATTGAGCCAATCTCTTTGAGACCCTGCTCTCAGTTCTTTGGGGTACAGACCCAGCAGAACTGGTGCATCACATGGGAATTCTCTGGTCCCTTGCTCCAGGACCTCCAGCTGTTTCCTGGGGCGCACACAAGGGCTGTTTTGGTGACAGCCATCTACTGGGTGTGAGGAGTTGAAATGCTCATTTCAACCAAAATAAATTCCAGATTCAGGGCACATGTCAAGGGAAGAGTGAGGGTGAAGAGGGCCGGTAGGGCTGGAAGGAAGAGCCCACTACACATAGGCCGGGATGTTGGGGCCCTCAGTGAGCTGCAGGCCTGGTGGCAGGGAAGGACCACAGCGCACGGATGGCCAGGAGCTGCTGCTCCTCGTGGCGAGGCCAGCCCAGCACTGTCACTGTACCCTGTCTCCAAGACCCGGAACATCAGTGAACTGGAGGCTGTGGCCTCTTCAAGAAGTGGCTCGGAAGGATGGTTTCCAGGCAGATGAACCCAGGGAAAACATCCAAGTCTTTTCCCCCAAATATTTTATTTACATATTAAATTAAAAAAAACATACATCAGCTAATCATTTGGCATACATCTCTCACGTTAACATAAGAAACAAAACAATTCAGTTATGGTAAAAAAAAACCCAAAACTATATACATCTCAACCAGATCACGTAGTGTCTTTAAATAGGCTACTGCAGGAGCCTGCAGAACAGCGGTGTCAGGAAATCTACAAAACACTGCACACACCTAAAAAAACAAGAAATAAAAACAGGGCTTTCCCGTCCTCCCAAAGAGGTCTACAGTGCTAAGAAAAAACAAAAACCGCTAGGAAAGTAAAGTGCTTGTCGCTGCTTCCGAGAAACACGGGTGGCATGAGGCCTTTGATCTGTGGTGTGGGGACGGCCGGGCGGGGCCTCACGTGAGCAGGTAGGTCAGCCGCCTCCTGCAGGTGAAGGCAGGTGTCGGCCAGGGGCGTCCAGAGGTGGCAGGAAGGGGACTTTGGTGTTCTCTCTGGGGCCGGGTACCAGGTCCACCCCGAGGATGGTCCTTCGCCCAGCCCTGAGCAGCCACAGAGCAGCAGCAGCATGGAGCTCAGCATATGCAGAGGCCACAGGTGGCCAGCGGGCGGGGACCACACTGCAACTCCGACATGCGCGGGGCTCCTTCCTGCCCTCAGGTAACTCGGTCAATCTTTGGCTTTGGAAAAGTCCCACCTTTGCCCCTTTCTGGGTGGCCCCTGTGTAATACTTCGGGCTGCGAGAGCCATGGGAAGCAAAGGCACCTGGGCGAGGAGGGATGGGCACTTGGCGCATGGCAGATGGGGCACGGTGGTGGCCGCTGTCCCACTGAGGTTCGGCCGCCCCAGCCGGCGTCCCTGCCAGTGCTGAGAGGTGGCCGTGGGCCCTTCCTCAGCAAACCTGGTGCTGCTGGGATGCTCCCCCAGGGTGACCGAGAGGGAGGATTAAACCAGGAACACAAAAGTGTAGTACAAAATATAAAAAATAAGTAGTGTCTGTGGTCTCCTATTTATGTACATATACAGTATTTGCTGAAAAAGAGACACAGCTTTACAAACACGGACCTAAGCTTCCCCCCGCACCTTCCTTGAATGAAAGCCAGACCCCAGAGCGTGGGCCTGGGTGCAGGGCTGTATCACCCCGAAGGGAGACACCACCCACCGCGCCGTCTACGGTCACAGCCTCAAGACACTGCACCATTTCACCCGGGTCAGGCATTGTGTTGGACCCTGATAATGAAATACATAAAAACTCAGTAATTAGCAGCGCAAACAAGATGCACAGCAGGAAGAAAGCTCTTGGCTTCCTCGCGGTGCCAGGGGCTCTGGGCGAAGCGCCCTGGGACCAAGCCCCAGCCCTGGCCACTGCCGTCTGCCCTGCAGCTCCTCCGAGCAGTGCTGGAAAACGGACTCCTGAGCAGTGCTCGCAGCTCCCGCTTCAAGGGAGACGAGACTCCCCTGCCCAGTCAGTCCCCTTCCCGGGCAGCAGGCCTGGGACTGTGCCAACCCACATGTGAAGCAGCAAGTTCACAGTTTCCGTTGAAGCGTGTTTCCGGAGGTGAAGAACCATCAACTAAAACCAAAAGGATACTGACGCACGCACGCACGCGGCTGCCCTGAGCGTTCCAAGGACATCCAGGCCCGTCGCCTCCCAACACTGCTGTGGACAAAGGGCAGGCCCCTGCCCTGTCGCCGACCTCGAAGCCGGAGGTCCCCCTCATCCCGCTCCCCCACCACCCGCCTGCACGACACACCCTCGATAATTTTTCTTCAGTTTCCAGTCCCTACTTGGAGTTGAGGTCACTCAGTGCAAGGAAAAAAGTAAAACAAAAAACGAACTAAAAGCCCATACACCTAACGTATTGCTTGTTTCGCTTGTAGAAAGTTCTTGGCTTTGAGTCCAAAAACATCTTCACATACTCCGCAATTATTGCTTGGAAGAGCCAGTGGACCCGGCTGGCGGGACTGTCCTCACTGCACCAGGACGAATGCCCCCCGCTGGCCAGAGGTGAGGCCCTTCATCTCGCAGTCCCCCTGCAGCCGCCCGGCGGGGTCGCACCCAGGGGCCAGCCTGGCCAAGCAGGGCGCCAGGGCCCCAGTGGGGAGGGTCCCAGGGCCAGAGCTGATGTGCAGGTGGGTGTCCAGGAGGTGCGCGGCCGACGTCACAGGGGACGCGCTGGTCTGCAGGAGGGGCGCCGGCAGCAGCGGGAGCTGCGACACCAGGAGGCCGTCACAGGGGGCCAGGAGGTAGGGGGCCGGGGTGGGGGGCAGCTGTGGGGCCTGAGGGCAGCTGGGAGGGGCGACCGGGTGGTGCTGTAACTGGAGAAGCCTGTAGGGCAGAAGGACAGGGCCCAGGTCAGATCTGCCCGCGTATCAGTGGCTGACAACCCGAGCCGCCCTGCAATGCTGTGACGACTTGGAGATGTCACCAGATAGGATGGTCTTGCTCGCCACCACCCTCTGCCCACTCACAAAGGACAGCGAGCTCCAGAGCCCGAGGTCCCAGGCCCCAGGGACTCAGAAGCAGGGAGGAGGGGACCTGTAGGGCCTACCTCTGCTGGTGCAGCACCTCCTCCAGCAGGCCTCTGCTCTCACGGCTGCCGGAGCTGCCAGCCTGAAGGCCCGGGCTTGGGGCAGGGGCGTGGAAGGCACTCAGGCCGGCCCTGGGCACTCGGCTAGAGGATGCCTGGCACACCTGGCGTGCCAGCCCCTTGATTTTGTTCAGCCCCAGGAACCCCTTGGTCCTCGCGTTCTTCCTCAGCTGCTGCCGGAAGGCCTTTAGCCCTGCACAAGCAAGACTGGGCTCAGTGGGCTCAGGGCACCTGGCTCCCTGTGTGGGCAGGGAGGACAGGACAGGCCATGTGTGTGGGACTGGCACCCACATGCCGTCCTGCTTTCCTGAAAGCACTCTTGTCACCAGAGCTCTTCTAACACCACCCCATGCTCAGGCCCCCAGCTGCCTTCTGAGGTTGGGGGTGATGGTTCCAATCCCAAGCAGGTGCTTTTGGGACAAGTTCTTTACGGAAGGTGTGAGCCGTGCACAGGACTCTGTGTGGACGCAGAGGGCACACTGGTACTGAGCCCTGGGCTGGCATAGAGGAAGCCTAGGCACCAGCTGAGGGTGGGGCTGCCTGGCGGGGCCCCTCCTGATCCCAGCACTCCTGTGGCCTGGGAGTGGCTCAGCATAGCCATTTCTGTATTCTCAGCCTGGTGGAGGTCACTGGTTGTGCTCAGGGCCTGTGGTTTGGGTCCACACCAGAAGACTAGGATACCCAGGGCCCAGGTGGCACTCCCAGCTGTCCCAGAGCAGGACCAGCAGAATGTAGTAAATGCTGCCTGGCACTGGGGCACTATGTCCTGCCAGGGGCAGAACCATCCCTAGGAAGGGGAAGTGAGTGTGGCTGGACCTCACCTTGAGTCAGTGAGGTGTCCGATGCCCTCCGTCCCTCCTGGAAGCTGACAGGGAGCAGGACAGCTCCACCCAGACCCCCCTGGGCCTGCAGCACAGGGGTGGCTGACTGTGCCCCTAGGAAAGGCGAGGCCAGTCTGACTGGGGAGCAGGTGCCCAGCAGCCCCTGGGTGGCCAGGCCGCTGCCGAGCCCAGCGAGGCCTTCGCCTGCGGAGAAGGTCAGACAGCTGTCGGAGCTGGTTCCTTCCGAGGCGCCCGCCGCAGCAGAGGAAGACACAACGATACCTGTGGAGGGAGCAGCTTGAGGGAAGCCCCATCTCCGAGGCCACAGGGGCTGCAGGGACAGGCCGCGGGGTGCCGGGGTGCTGGGGGGTGTAACGGCTGTGACTTTGAGCCTCGCCCTGCAGTGGGCGTCTAGCGTTGGCTCCAGGCTATTGGCCAGCCCATGGGTGCAAGTGCGGGTGGTAGATACAGTGAGTACAGACCCAAAAAGAGTCCCAACCCAGGGTGGTGCCCGCCCGCCAGAATGAGCCCGGGCACGTCCCAGTATGACCACGTAGTCTCGGGGAGCCTGACAGGTGCATCTCGGCCCATGCACTGGGCCCTCGGGGACACTTACAGGGAGGGGTGAGTGGAGAGAAGTGGGTGGAGACCTCAGCCAGCGTGTGTCTGCGCCCCGTGCTGCCACGCAGGGCCTCCTGGGCCTCTGGCTCCTCCTCCAGGCTGGGCCCCTGCCTGGCCTCCTCGCTGATGGCTGTGTCTAGCAAGCTGCTGGGGGAGATGGAGCGGTGCGGGAACACGCCATTGCAGTTGGCGTCCGGCGCGAAGAACAAGGGCTGCACAGGAGGGAAACAAACCAGTGACTCCTGGGCTCCGCAAGTGCGCGTGTGCTGGGGAGGGCGGTTGCTGGGAACGGTCACTTACCTGTAGCGAGCTGTGGAGGTCGCAGTCCATCTCAGCCTGCAGGACAGACTGTGCCAAGGCCTGGGGCTGTGGGCACAGCAGCGAGGACCGGAAAGGGTCGCCAGGGAGACCTTCCTGCGGCACCTAGGGCCAAGGAAAACGAAGAGACGTCATCAGGGCCATGCCAGTGATGACCGCTGGGGGCAGCAGGAAGACCAAGCTGGATTAGAGATATGCTGACAGGTGCCAGGCTGGGGTACAGGACAGGCGCCCTCTCCATGGCTGCGTGCAGGCATGCATGGGTGACCAGGAGGCCCTGAGATGCCAGCACTAGGAACAGGCAGCACTGCCGGACAGAGCCGCCAGCACCCGCCTCTCCTCCTCTCCCTGCGGTCTGCTGCCTAACTGGGGGTGTGCTCAGGGCCGGGGTACAGGCACAGTCTCACTCCGGGCCCAAACAAGGGCTACACAGCTGGGGGGAGGGACAGAGCGGGGCCTGGGTGCAGGAGTCTGCCCTCACCTCCAGACCACTGAGGTCCAAGCTCCTGGGCCGGGGCTGCCGGGTGGGCATAGGCCGGGCCAGTGGCTGGGCGCCCCGGTGCTCCTTGAGGCGCTCGAGCAGGAGGTAGTAGATGGCCGCGAAGTGGTTATAGCTGCTGTTCTGCAGCGACTGGGGAGAAAGGAGGGGGTCACATGGTGCCCACAGCTACTTCTGCAGCCCCTGGGGCTCCCAGTGAAGGCCATTCCTAGGCTATTCCTGGGAGGGACACACTGGCCCTTAAATTAGCCCACACCGCCCTGAACTCCACCGCTCATGTGGCCTCGCTCACCTCCACAGTCCTCTGCCGGTCGATGCCGAGGGCCTGCATGATGCCCAGCGCCTGCTCATTGTAGTCACCCAGGTTGGAGGTGTAGCCGAGCACGGAGAGGGCAGGGTCGGGCTGCCGCAGGAGGGCGGGGTCGGCCTGCATCCACCGGTGCTGCCAGATCTGGGCAATGGTGATGCGCTTGGCAGGGTCCACCACCAGCATTCGGCGGATGAGCATCTCGCAGTCTGAGGAGGAGACGGCGCCCACTGAGCCCCAGCACACTGTGTGTATGTGCGGTGCCCCGCAGAAGGCCCAGGCTTCGGCCATCGCCTGTGCCACTGAGCTGGGGGCTGGGGCCAGCCCCAGGGAGACCACATGCTGGTCCTTCTAAGTGGCAGACACACACCCCACCCTGGCATGATGCACACGAGGACAGGCCATGGGTCAGCATCTGTATGACAGGGAATTGGCTCCCAGGAGGCACCAGCATAGGGAGGGCACCTGCCATCCCTAAGTAGGGCACCGAGAAGGCACCTGGGGCTCAGGTTTCTCTTGCAGCCCAGTCACCTGGGCCGATTCCCTGGCTCTGGACCGGCATCATAGGTGGCCAAGCAGGCACTGCAGAGCCCCATCCCTCGGGCCCCTCCCCAGCCTCCTCTGGGCTCACGAGGCAGCTCCCACAGCAGGCTCAGCGCCACCCACCTTGAGACATAAAGAAGGGGATGCGGAACCGGCCCTCCAGCACCCGTTGTCTCAGCGTCGGCAGGTTGGGTCCGTCAAAAGGGAGAGAACCGCAGACGAGGACGTAGAGCACAACACCGAGGCTCTGTGAACAACCAAACAGCGGGATGAGCGCCCAGCAGGCTCCAGGGGCTATGGCCGTGGGCAGCAGGGACAGCACCCCGGCTCCTACCCAGATGTCCAGCTGGGGGCCTTCATACTCCTTCCCCTCAAAGACTTCGGGGGCTGCATACGGGGGGCTCCCACACCACGTAGAGAGAGGCTCTCCAGGCTTGTAGAAATTCCCAAATCCAAAATCTGTGGTGCAGAGAAACAGACGGATGAGTTGGCCTGGAAACAGCAGGAGCACCAGCTCTGGGTGCACGGGAAGCTCGGGGCCTGCTGCGAGTCCCCGGCCTGAGGCCCCCAGGCCCGCCTTGCCTGCCAACTTGACGTCCATGTTGCCGTCCAGCAGCAGGTTCTCTGTCTTGAGGTCCCGGTGCACAATGTGGTGGTTGTGGCAGTACTCCACGGCGGACAGGATCTGCCAGAACTTCTTCCGCGCCTCGTTCTCGCTCAAGTGCCCGTGGGCAGTCAGGTAATCTGAGAAGCGACAAAATCAAGCTCTCTCTACTCCTGGATGCAAAGCCTGGCACACCCCGGGGTGCAGGGCTGCAAGATGTGTAGACCGGGTGGGCGAGCAGGTCCTGACAGGTTAGCACTGCTGCTTCCAACAGCCGTTAAAAACAAGCATGGCTTACCGAACATTTCTCCATTCTTGGCAAATTCAGTGACGATGTAAAGCATATCCTTTGTTTCCATAACCTAAAAAAACAGAAAACTAACACGTAACCACATGAGAAAGGAACGTACGTACCAAGGGTGTAAATAATCCACTTGGACCCCAGTAAACCTTTAACTTCTCCTGGAAGCGTGTGTTCACCAGTGAAAAAAAGGAAAAGGGAGAAAGCCCCTATGATACGTAGACAAATATGGGGATCCCTCCTCAGAGAAAGAAGGCTTTACAAAGAGGAGGTGTGCTCCCCCCAGACCTGCCTATCCTGAATAGCTCGGCCCTAAACTAAGCCGACTTCGGGCCTCCCTCACCACCCATTTAACTCAGGCTGCCGGCACAGGAAGCTTGGGGCTCCGAAGGCTTCGGGCACCTAAGCCCCACACACCTTGCTCTGGAGCCCTATTGTGGGGTACGGGGCGGGGCGGGGGTGTGTGTGTGCTCAAGCTATTTGCCACAACAGACAGAAAGAATGCTAACAAACACCCCATTCCCACTGCTGGCTCGGCACAGCTGTGGGAAAACGGCTTCATCAGGTAAGCTAGCGCGAGCGAGGCTCTGGCAGCGGATCGCTCAGCCTGTCAACAGTGACAGTCAAGGTCAATGTCCTCCGGAAAAGTTCATTCGTGGATCGGGAATTTTATGTTCCCTAAAGAACAATTTAAAGTGTAACTAAGAAACAAGGTAAAATCCCAATTTTTGGTACTGAAAAAAAGGTAAAACAAACTCATGTCTTTGTGTATCATAAATTATTTCAGAGGAAGAGAGAATACATTTATGGGATTAACATGACAGAATAAGATTATGGAAATCTTATGAAAAAAGATTGTTTTGGGCCATTCAAAATATAGCTATTACTTTTTAAAGACTTTTTTTTGATACTGGGGATTGAACTCAGGACCTTGCACTTTCGAGGCAGGTGGCCGAAACACTGAGCTAAATCCCTGGCCCTAAAAGACACTTTCAAGACAACTGTTTAAAGTCATAAATCTAATGAGAAAATGGCATTTAAAATTTTCACACGTTAGCCAGAATTTTAACTGCCTGTGCTCCATGTGTGGGATAGGAGACCACTTATTCCTGTCCTCAATTGAGAGAAATAGGGAGAAAAGGAGAACCGGTGTATTTTACCTTTTGAAAACCTCAAGGAAAGGATGAAGCGTCCCCGCAAGGCTCTGGGGCCTCGGCTGGCTGAACCAGCACGAGGCGCCAGTGTCAAAAGCAAAGGACTCACAGGAGAGCACACCCCACCCCACCCCACCCCCGCATCATTCACAGGAGCCGTGTTTCCTTAACAGGGCCCATTCCGCCCCGTGCAAGGCCCAAGAGCAGGGAGAAAAGTAAAGTGCTAACGGGCAGCCCTCTGCAGTCAGTCAGAGACAAAGCACTCAGCCTGCTGGCTCGGACACAGACACAGCGGCCCGGAGGAAGCGCCTTATCTCCTCTTATCGCGGAGCACAACTTTAAAAGACCCAGACACAAACCCTGAGCGCAAGGCCTGAGCTGTGTGTGCAGATACGCCGGGTGGACTGTCACGGGAGGGGAAGCAGGTGCTCCAACGACACATCTGCCTCATTTTAACTGAACAGCAGAGCCTGCCAGGGGATAATTTTAAATTACAACTCCCTCTCCCACTGCACTGTACGCGCAGCCTTTCCAACTGCACACATGTGACTTCCATAATCATCTCAGATTCCCGTGGCTTCACAGAGTCACCCAGGGGGACCAACACCCAACATGAGCACATGGGAATGGGAGCAAAGAATGTACTCCTCTGAAGATGGGAGGTGTAAGAAAAACCCTGCCCTGCTGGGCTACTCACTTATTTCCCAAAGATACAACTAATACGTTAACTGCAACACAAGGACCAAAGTCACAAAACCAACCAACAGATGGACAGGGTGAGTGAGGCTGTTCCGAACAGAGCGAAATGACAAGTTCCGTGCCCTTCCTGTGGCCAAAGCATTTCCATCTTTCCCCTCTGCACAGAAGAGTTACAAAGGGAAGACAAGTGCTCACTGCTGCCTCTGCACAGGTAAGTTAATGAGAACTGGTAGCAGCAGCAGCCAGTTCTGAAGTTTAATAACTGTGGAAAGGTGGGAAGTTTCTGGTTTTGCCCAAATTTGCCCTTCTGCACCGAGTGCCCAACCTGAGGGAAGCCACCCCGACAACAGACCGCTACGCATTTGAAGCTGGAACAAATTACGATGCCAGACACAACTTTAATGAAGTGAATCTCAAAAGCAAGACAGTAATTGTAAACACGTCTACCCAGTGTACAAGGGTCAATCTTTTTACTTCTACAACCTGCATGCTGATGCCACACATGCAAAAGGGGTAACCTGCATGCAGCAAGGGCAGACCTGGGGGTGGAGCAGAGTGACCAAGCCACGCCGCAAACACTCACACACTCACATGTGCACACACACGTGCACGCACACACGGCAGGCCGCCTCACCTGGTACAGCCTGATGATATTGGGGTGGTTGAGTAGCTTCATCAGCTGGACCTCGCGGTAGATTTTCTCCAAGTTGCTTGGATCTAATCGTGTTTTATCAATTATTTTTATTGCAACCTACAGATTTTTTTTTAAAGAAAAGGGATGTTTGGTAAAAAAAAAACCCAAAAAACCCTCATTTACACATTTCATTTTTTGCAAGTTAAATTCCTCACTTTATGTCTCCAAAAGGTCAAAAAAAGTTGGGAAAAAATAACCAAAGTAACCACAAATATTATTTAAAGGGTCCAAAGAGAAATAAATGTCTTGAATACTTGCAAGCTCAGTTTACAGGGCTTTAGCTCTGAATCCAGGAACCAGAGCACTCGGGTTGTTTGGCTTTGGGGTATTTTCTGGTCATTATTTTCTTTGCCGTTCCCGAATATTTGTACAAATTATGCACACACATAACACAAAGCTTTTTTCTTCTTTACTAAGCTCAAACCAGTCTGTGTTTACAGGATGACAGCGAGCCCTAATCTGCCTGAGTCCAGCCCCTGATCAGGCTCCCTGGCCCATGCCCTCCCTCTGGCTCCCTGTCGCCCGGGGCACCTGTGTTTTGGTGACTCGATGCCGGGCCAGCTTCACCACCGCGAAATTGCCTTTGCCCAGGGTGCGCTCCACGTCGTAGAAGCCCACACGGAGGGTTTTCTGCTGGCCCTGGCCGAGGCCCGCCGGGGCGGCGCTCAACTCCGACATGATCACCATGGCTCCGGGTCGCACCTGGGGGGCGGAGGGGCGCTCATTGGGGACCCCCTAGCCCGGGACGCCTGAAGCCGTCCCCCGACCTCTCGAGCACCCCCAGAGCCCTAATCGGCTCTATACCGGCCTCCCTCACCGATCCCCACGTGCGGGGACCGGGTCCCCACTGTCGGTTCCACTCTAGTCCCCGGGACCCCTGCGTCCGGAGGGCCGCACGGACCACCGGACCCAGGGTCGCCGCGTCCCTCTGGGTGCGGACCCGCTTCCTTCCCGCCGCCCCGCAACAATGGGGTGCCGGCGTCCCCGCCCGCCGCTCACCCCCGTCGCGCCCCGCGGTTCCCGCTGCCTGCTCTGCCGCCGGCGCTGCCCGGGCGCTCGCTGCTCGCGCCGCCGCCGCTGTGTCCGCCTCCCGAGCCGGGCCGCATGTCCGCACCCGCCGCCCGCCGCCCGCCGGCAAGCCCCGCCCCGCCCTCAGGCCCCGCCCCGCGCCCCGGAGGCTCCGCCCCGCGCTGCCCCGCCCGACAAGGCCCATTGACGTCATTTTGACGCCAGAGCGACGCGCGGCCGAGCGCCAGGACGGGGGGAACGGAGATCGGGAGGTTGCCAAGAGACTGGGGCTTTGACGCGCGCGCCGGAGAGGCCGTCGCCATGGCGACCGCGAGGCGGTGACGTCAGGGGCACCGGCCACCAGCACTCCCGCGCCCTCTGCTGGGCCCCGGGGGCACTACGGGAGGCCCTCCCGGCGCGCCCCCTCCCGCCCCGCGTCGCCTCGTCCCCAGCTCCTGCGTCCCTCTGGCTCTGCGGGAGCCCCCGCCCCGCCCGCTGCCCCCCCCCGCAGTTCCGGGGTGCAGGAGGCCACGCCTGCGCCCGCCCGCCCTTCCGGTGGGGTGCCGGGGCTCGGGGCGCTGAGCGATCGACAGCTACTTTTGTTCTAAGAAAAACTCCGTAACTGTTGGAAACGCGGAAGCTGAGGAAACGGGTCCACATCCCCGGACCCCGGCAGTGTCCTGGAGCCCCGGACACCCTGGTCAGAGCAAGGGCTCTGGAAGCGGGCAGGGAAGGCCCAGCGCCCAGGGCTCGCGGCGGCCAGCAGCAGCCAGGCCCCGGCCGGCCGGGAGGACGCGCGCTCCGCAGGCCGACTTGCCGCCGACCCAGCCGCCGCGTCCCCAGAACTTCCACCGGCGGAGGCAACGGCGCACCTCGGGCCTTGGGGCTGACCCTGAAGGTCTCAGACGACCCTGCCGCCCCACGCTGGGGAGCGGGCTGGGGCGAACGACGGTGGCGCGTGGCCTGGGCTCTTTCCTCCCAGTCTCCGCTCGGGTCCGCTCGGGTTCCTTTGTGGCTCATCAGAACTTGAAACTCTAAAAGGGAAGGCAGGACAGAGGCGAGTGAGGTGTCCCAAGTATTTGGAAGGCAGCAGTTTGGGAAGAAACGTGTGCATCTAGCTTAGAATCGCGTTTCCTTGTGTCAGATGAAAACAGCGCTTCACAGAAGAGGGCGGGAGCAAAAAGCAATCTGATTCAGACCCAGACCCAGGGCCTCCAGGCTTGGGGAGGGTGGGCAGTCCCAGAGCGCTGGGCAGGGACGCTGCTAGCACACCAGGCCCACCAGACACTCCCCGCCACCCCACCCACCCCGCTGGGGAGGCTTAGTGGGGTCAGCTAGTTCTGAAAGGCATTCAAGGACACTGACAGTCGCAAAGCATCTTTAGTCTCTCAAAGCACTCTATTTGTCCTGGGTTTATACACCAAGAATTTGGAGGAGTATTTTTAGTTCCTCCCAGCTGAAGGGTTTACAATTGCTTTTCCCCACTTCTGGGAGTCTTGACACCCTCATCTGTCCTAGTATTGCAGATAGGTAAGTTAATTAGATATCTTCTAGGCAGTTAGACAGGGCCAGCCCAGGAGGAGCCAACAAGGAGGACAATGAAGACACAAGCACTGAAGGCCAGCCCTGAAAAGGGAGAAACTACCACACCCAAGTTGGATGAATGGCAGTGATTGATATTCTAAGTAGCTATCAATCACCTGGGTGGGGGACAAAGATCTTCCAAGAAAGATCCCTGACCCACCCCTTTCCACCCAACATCCTTGCTCATTCCTTGTATGCTTGCTGCGTAACTTGCTTCCCCATTGGATCCCCCATTTAATCCATGTTACCTAAGCAACTATACTTGTCATAATCTTATTGGTTGTTCATAGTTCTGTCCACCTTGTGATTTCTCATTGGATCAATATTACCTAAATAAGGGCCAGGGATTTAGCTCAGTGGTTCCACTGCCTGCCTGGCAGCACAAGGTCCCGGGTTTGTTCATTCCCTGGTACAAAAAAAAAAATTACCTAAGCGACTGTACTTCTCATCTTAATGGTTGACTACAATTTTGTGCCCCCTTGAACCCGCCTCACCTCGTGGCTTTGTCCCATAAAACACCTTTGGGAAGTTGAGTGACCGGCAGCCCACTTTCCGGTCCCCTTTCTGTCTCTCTTAGAAGCTGTCTTTCTCTCAATAAATTTTTCCTACTCTTAACCTCCATTGTTCCTAGAATTCATTCTTCAGTTTTCGAGAACACGAACTTGCGCTTCTGATACCTAGCACGTTTGGGAGTTCCATCTCTTCCCCTGTATCACTAGGAGAACAAAACGCATCCTGTGACTTCCAATCTTTGCCCTGGAATCGATTGCAACTTCCAGGAAGCTGGCCTTCTGGGTTCCCCATCCCCACCACCCTGAGTCCAGCCGGAACTCTCAGAAGGGCAGAGGAATTTGCAAAACCTGGCTGGCCTTTTAAATAACAACGCGGTCAGAGGAGCAGGCGGGTGCCGGGCAGGTACACTTGACCCCCAGTTCCCCCAGCAACCAAGGCCAGCCCAGGCAGAGCATGGTGTCCAGGAGCTTGCTCAGCCAGAAGGTGGGAAGAGGGGAGGAGCCAGTGTGGGGCGCTGTCTCCTGTCCTCCCTGGGGTCCCTCCAGGCACCCTGGTGTATCCATTTCTGCCTTTACACACATCCATCTCCGCTGGGCCTGTGCTCTGGGCTTTGGCTGTTATCCGTGTCCTTCATTCCTACAAGGCCACATCTCCTTGCAAAATCCTTGGTTCCCCTGCAGCTTTCTACCCTTTGAGGCTCTGGACAAGTTATAAGAAAAAAGCAAAAGGCATCTAGCACAGTAGTGGCGAACCTATGGCACACATGTTATTTGTTTTTCTTTTAAAACAGAAGATGTTTATGTTTATTTTTTCTAAATTAAAACATCAGGGCTGGGGATTTAGCTCAGTGGTTCTGCTGCTTGCCTTGCAAGTGCAAGGACCTGAGTTCGATCCCTGGTACCAAAAAATAAAAATAAATTAAAACATCAGTACTCAGATTTAATTGCAGTGTTGACACTTTGAGACAGTGAGTTTTGGGCTACAGTTGGGGCACTCGGTTTCTGGAAGATTTGCCATCCCTATAGCATGTGCTACAGATGGAAACAGGTGAATGAGGATTCTCCACTTACACAGCGAAGAAACATGGCCCTCCTGAAGGTCGGCAAGAGAGGGGTAGCTTTTTTTTCCCCTCCAATACTGGGGATTGAACCAAGGCCTTCGCACTGAGCTACCATCCCTGGCCCTTTATTATTTTTTACTTTGCGACAGGGTCTCACTAAGTCTCTGAGTTGCCCAGAGTTTGCTCGAACTTTTAATCTTTCTGCCTCAGCCTTCCAGAGTCCTGAGATTTCAGGTGGGCACCAACACACACGGCTCAAGAGGTGGCTTTTTTATATATGACTGCAGATTTGGAGGAAGCAGTGGTCAGTTTTCTTTTCCATCGGGAACTTCTTACACCTGTTGGGAGTTCCTCTTCAGATTTTGATCTTGACAATGGAAACCCCATCTGCAGGAAGTGGGTCCTTTAACATTCATGATTCCAGCGCCCAGGGTGTGGGCCATGGGCATGTGACAAAATTCTCAATATGAATCAAAAAGCACAGAAAGCAGAGCTAAGTGACAGTGCTGGCACAAATGGGTGAGTGTGGCCTGGTCCCAGGCTGCTCTGTCCCCTCTGTAATAGAGCCACATGGCCAGGACTGCCCGGGGCACTCTTCTGTCTTGGCCCTTCCTCCCGGGCACCTGAGGCCCTGCTCTGCCCTTCGCGCTTTGGGGTTTGAAGGCTTCTCCCTAATGAGACAATAAGGTGGCTCTTGGGCCCTGTCGCAGGTCCCGCTGTGCTTGTGGAGCTTGACAAATCAGCATGCACTGGCCAGGGGCCACAGCCCTGGCCTGGGGTGGCAGCTGGCAGACACCATGAGACAGCCGAGCCTCCCACAGACGGCCCAGCTGTTTGCAGTTCAGTCAGGAGCTCAGGCTGAACCGTTGACCTTGACGGCATCCTTCCCACAACTGTTTCTGAGGAAGCATTTGCCCCGAGACTGCTGCCATGGCCCCAGCTGGTGGGTCAGGGGCCTGCCTGTCTCAGCCAGTGCCTGGGTCCCCAGGCCAGTGGGGGTGCGAGCTGACTGCAAGGGCTGGCCAAGCAAGCCAGGCCTCCGGTCCCAGCAGGGAGCAGAAGTAGGGGAGCCGGGGTGAGGAGGACTCCTGGGGCCTGGGGGTGTCGGAGGACAGTGGGAGGAACTTGGGGGGTCTGGGGGCGCCCCAGTGGGCAGAGCAGACCTGCAATGACAGGGCTGTGGGCACCCCAGGGGAACTTGCCTGTTCACGCACCAGCTGCCCTCCTGCTTGCAGAGTCAGTGAGGAATCTGTAAAGGCCAGCTTCTCGCCGTTTTATTAGGGTACTGAGTAATGGGAGTGCCTCAGTCTGTTTTCTGCTGCGATAACAAATACCCGAGACCAGGTCATTTATAAAGACAGAAGGTTCCTTTGCTCCAGTTCTGGCAGCTGGAACTCCCTGGAGAGCCTTCTTGCTATGTCCTGACCTCAGCAGAGGACATCAGGTGTGCGGGCTTGGGTCTCCCTCTTCTTATAAAGCCACCAGGGCCACCACAGGGGCCTCTCCCTCATGACCTCATCTTACCCCAGTTACCTTGCAGAAGCTCCTCCTCCAAGCACTGTAGTGTATGGATTTGGGGATTTGGTGTCACACAGGGCCTTTGGGGGATGTGGCCCTCAAGCCGCAGCAGGGAGCACAGCCCCAGCCCCTTCCAGCCTGGGTGGGCTGGACTTGCACAGACGCGGGGAGATAGCCCTGCAGCCCAGGGTGGACTGTGGCCTGCTGGCCCTGGTCTTGATTCTGGTGGTGGCTGTCATCTTACTGTCACCACATGATCTCTCAGCACTGGGCATGGCAGACTTTTCCTTCCTTCCTTCCTTCCTTCCTTCCTTCCTTCCTTCCTGTTTAGTTACTTCCTGTTTTGTTTACTTACTAATCACTCACTCAAAAACTCTATGAG